GCGAACGAGGCTTTCCAAGTTCAGAAAGGCCGTGTGTTAATTTCACCGTGATGCCATGGGCGGTGGATGGATGGGTCATTCTACGCCCGCTCAAGTTCACATGACCCAGTCTCTGTTCGTCGAGGGGGACCAATAGGTAGGCCATATGATAGGGCTCAAGTTTGAAGTCATTTTAAGTGTTACTATTTTCCAAAAAATAAGCAAACCGGAAGGGAGGCCTGTTTGCGGGTTCGCTTCAATGGAAGCTCAGAAGGAAAGCGTGGATATTTCTGTGTTTAACGAATGTGCTCAGCTGATTATGCGAACTCGAGAGAAACTACATCAGCGACGTTACAAAAGGGTGGCTCTTTCGTTCACTACGATACTTCTTGCAAAGTACAACTTATCATAATAACCAAGTTCCTGATGTGTTTTGTACTCCCGTGTTTAATTTTTATCTCCATTGTGGTAGTTAGACATGTAACCTCAACAGGAACCATGAAATGAAGAATGGAATACTGGTAAATGTTTCACAGGGCTATTCTTCGTCGAATTCAGATGTAGTAGTAGTTGGATCATCCAATGTGCCTTCTGAGCATGCAGCAACTGAGACGTGCGATGTTTTTTGTACTACCTGATGTGATGCAATGTAAGTCTGTGCCAACCGGATCCGATGTACCAGTGGGTAAGAGGCGGAAATACAACAACATTTATCTTCCTTTTGGATTTACAGAGTCCAATAATTGTACACAAGGTGACTTGTGTAACATAATTCTTGTGAACATGGTGCCTATTAAAATGCAGCGACAGTTGGAAAATTTCACCTTATCGGTTGCACATATCAGAGCGAAAAAGCGAAAACATGATACTGCTTGCGCATCCCTTCCTTCTTTTCCAACTATTTCGCTTCATACCCTCCCGAGCAGATAACCCACCTTCGTTCTACAAGTACCAGCCTAATTGACAGCAGCCGTACTGCCAGTGAAGTCGAACCATTTGCAGACATCTTCCCGTACCACCCTCTGGATGCCTATGGGCAACATTCCCTAACAAGACCACGCTGTCCCGTTTCTCTGGCGGCGTCAATTTTCCCACTCAAGGACAAACAGTTCAACTGGCTGAAGTCGCACACATGTTGGACACACTTGGTACTGACATGTCTTGATTATCCGAAGCTATGATCAATGTGCAGCTCGGATTAGTTGAACTGACTTTGCCCGACCTGTCCTCTCGCCATTAGTTGCACGTATCTGGAGATGATGATTCGGCAAACACTATAGTCAAGTCGATGAGGTATTTTTCTTAGCTAGAAGGCCAAATTCTCGTTGGCTGGTGGAATCCCGCGGGCAGCCGTTCATGTGCAGTGCGTCTGACAATATCAGCTAAAGGTTGGTTCAACAATTAGTGATAGACGATTTTTGATTATCTTTTAGGCTTATGCCCCTACCGACTGCAGTTTTGTTGCTGCCCACAACGCCCTCTGTCAAGAACTAAAGACACTTCCATGCAGTTTCGCTAGCTCAGACACCGTTTTTTACATCGAATATGAATGCACAAATAGTTCGCTTGGGTTCTTCAGCAGCTTAATTCCGTGATAGGTACGTACTTAACGCCGACGGTGCGGACAACAGCGAATGCCAGTTGCAAATAGATGCGGAGGACCGGCTGTGTATAGCAGCCAAGCTATTAGGCACAGCGGGAGCCAAAATACCAATTGGCGTCTCTTTGTGGCCAGCAAGCCTTGGATCCAAATATATCATGTTGCCTTAATCTATAGACGGTGTGGTTCCACCGCTCGAGGTGGAATACGTGTGTCTGCTTTGACCATATTTCGGTCTTCTGTCGCTTTACAACAAACGTTGTTGAGAGGCGTACCTAGTGCCTCTCTCGATTCCCAAGTGAGCATTTATCTCAAGCCATCATCGGACGAGCATACCAAGATGCCCTCTGTACCTAAAGTTGTCTCCCTCGTCCTATTGATACTGCGGTGCAGTGAAATAGGATCTTGGCTGCTATGTACAACGTGGGAGCTTCCGCTTGCGATACCGTCATTCACGATTGCAAAAACCACCCTGTATTCGGGAGATCGTTGGACCTGCTTGATCCCAAAAGAAAACTTCTAGATGTCTCTGAGTACAATGTAACTAGACAGACTAATATGCGCGAACTAAAACGGGCCAGCCAAGTGGAGCAATAGAGTTCTGAAAATAGAGGCAGGAGCATTATAAAGGTTTCGTAAGCTCTTCCAGATGATCCGCAATATTGATTCCAGAAATCAGCCGTTAGCAAGATAATTAGAGACAGCACGGCTGTCCTGATTCAAACTAAGGAACGCCATATTGCTCGATATGCAACGGAATTGCAAGCTAGAATCTGCTGGCCATCTGCTCCTAGACACGTTCTTACCCGGGGGCATGGTTTCTAGGCTATATAGGAGAGTGTTTTTGGAAACCTGACCACAGTCCTTATTTGTTTTATAGCAGCAGACACGGATTCCCTTTGCTCCTGCGATAAACAAGGACTGTGATGAGATCCTATGGAAAGCACTTACTTGCATTTTCCAACAGATCTGAAGGGGAGAGTCCATCCGAACTAACTGGAATGAATCGATTATAGTGTCAGTTTGCAAGAGGTGTATTCGCACCGATTGTGCTGATCATAGGGGTATTAGCCTAAAGCAGGTGGTGAAAATAGTACTGACTATAGTTCTCATTCGTTGTTCGACTGCGGAACGGAAATAGCAACTTGAAGAATAGCAAGCAGGTTCACACCCGGACGGCGCTGTGTAGACAACATGTTCCCTCTGCGATAGGTGATAGAACAACGCCACAAGCACCACAGACCGACGGTCACTGGGTTTCTCTCCTTCAAACGTGGGTTTACTCAGTCTGCCGATCAATTATGTTCGAAACGCTTGCAAGGCGGATTTTTTCCCATTAAATAAGTGAAAAGTTCTTGTATTCTGTGCTCGAACGCCGCAGGCTACGTCAGGGTCTTCCGTGACCCAACTGAAGCTTTTCCTACAACAAGTGGCGTTCGTCAGGTTTGCCCAATTTCCCCATTGTTGCTCAGCTTCGTTGTTGGCTCTATTATAGTTTGTTCCCTTTCCGGAATCTTAGGACACCGGCGTTGATGTGCTGCCTTGTGAAAATCTAGCTGATTCAGATTATGCAAACTATATTTTCATGTTGTTTAAGTATATTGAGACGGGGCATTTGACCCCAAATATCTTTATAAAGTGCTCCCATCCGTTGTTTCCCGCAGCAATCCTGTAAATCTAGTGCTTAACATCTGCGCCACCATTCCCACTGGATTTCTATACTTATGCGACTGCACAATTACCGTTTTATCTACCAAGCTGGTTAACACTCCTTGCAGAAAAAAATGGAGTCTAGTGTGCTGTTGAGCAACTTGGTGTCGTGTACGCATTTGGGATGGAAGTGAGTGTTCACTAGAGAAGTTTAGCCACAGCTTTGGGCCACTCACACCCATGAGTTATGTGAACTTGGTACTGACGACTAGTTCAAACCAGAACCCTGGTCAGTGACCAGATACTTTGATTCGGCGCAAGGCTCAAGTTGTTGAGGCAGGTGACTGCCTCACTCCCTAAGGTGCGCATAGATTGACGGATTTGGCGAATTTTTTAAATCTCAAATGTAAGCGTGGAACACCGCACAAATTCTCAAAACGTGCTGATCGTCCTAGTTTACACGGCGTAGTGAAGCAAGACGCTGACAAAGCCTGACAAACAAGCCGAGATATTTCGGTTGTTCGCTCAGAGATGTTTGCAGAATGGTTTGATAACCTTCAGCATTTTGTTCAAAATGCGACAAACTTCATTAGTTAAGATATGATGAGTGTTGTTGTTATATACCTGGGTTCCGACAAAGAATGTGCCATGACTGCGAACTGGAAAACCAATATGGTGCACACAATTAAGAAACAAGAGACACTGAGTGCTAGTCGCAATAGTTTGAATACCCATACCTACAAAATGTGTAACAAGTATCATTAGATTGACTCCAATTGAAGCTGGAGCGCAGAGCTTGGCCGTATGGCAGAAGACCGTTGTTGGTAAGCAAGGAATCAGTTCCAATTAGTTATGTGGAAAGTATAAAATGCAGAAGACATTGTTCAACGCTTCGCCTATTAATCGCCTTTTTGTAAAGCATCTATGGACGTTCGACACGACAATCACGCGTTTACGGAGCAGGACATAAAATGATAGCTGCCGCTAACGTATTTTTCGAAACCTGACTACGCTTCTTACCAAACTTGTTCAGCATTAACTTACAAACGTTACGGAAACAAACATGTTGTCTACCATCGACCATCTGCTCTGCAATTATTATCATAATAATATTTGCTCCTGGCAGAATGATGTTGAACTGGGTTACTAATCATGTGTAAATTCTTATTGTTACCAAAGAAGAAATTCTTGTACGGAATCGTTCACACGTCAAATAAGTTTGCTTATAAGAACTTTTTAATGTATTCGCACAAATCAGCTAATATGCATAGCTGTGAGAATTTATACTTTGTGACCCGCATATATAGGTACAATGTCGGAAAGGAGGACAATTCAGAAACCACCACGGGCATTCCAAATCCTACGAAGGTAAAATGCGCTATGTTACAACTGAATACATCAGAACGGTTCTCATTTCTCATAGATCTTATGCGATTTAATGCTTAGTCGTCTGAAACCTGTCTAAAGAATGTGCCTTACTAGATGAAGTCATCGTTCATGTATTCGTTATCGTTCCGGTACAACACAAACGCATCCCATACATCCTATTTGTTATGCTTGTCAAACAAGGCTACAACATGAAGTAATGGCTTATTATTAAGTAATGCACTTGTATAAACTGTATTCGGGTATGTCATATAAAACAGGTAGAAAAAAACAGATTAGACAATGACACACAAACATGGGAAAGGCAGTGTTCTCCACATTGAGCACCTTTATCTAGCGAGCAAACGAAGCGCTGCAGTTGCGAAGGCGTTAGTGTTCAAGTTGATTAGGAACGATACTTCAGTGTATAAGCTAAGATGGAATGGAGATAACAGTGAAGATAATGAAAGATGGAGCCGCTTAAACAAGCACCCAAATTCAATCTTTTCTCACAAAGAGCTTATATTATTTACACAATAACGCGTGCTCAATTATTGACTAAATACCTGCTAGTTATGATAAAATTTTGAACGGTTTCATAGAGCGAACGATCTTCAACTACTGAGAGAGTTTAAGAAATGAGGGCAAATTCTGGAATGTAAAGTTTGCATATTTTGTATACGAGCTTGTGTTTCATCCTCTATGCGTCATTTGACGAAGCCTTTACACTGGCATTTGCTTTTCCCCTTTGAATTTAAGCTTTAATGCTGCTGCTGTGGAATTGCACGTTTCAAACAATACTTAACAATTTATGTCGCCTGCACTAAGCTTGAAGATATTTTGGTGCTTTATGCCCATTCTGGGCAACGCGCGAAATTAGGAACTTGTTACGCTTGTTAACAACATCGGGAAATACTTGGAAATGAGCCGGAAATTTGGGAAATACTTGTGCTAGTTGACAAATTAATCTGAGACTTCGTTAAGTCCTCGAGAAACATTCGTCGCTGATCCTTTCCAACTCTTTATGATAGCTTCCCATAAAGTAACAGAGCTTAATGCTATTACGCGTCGAATGATTAAATCGAGGAAGGCACTTTGAAGCTACAAGAACGTTAGTTACATTCTGCTCAGACATGTAAATGTATTCGTCTCGATGATTATCGTCCGGATGTTCCGACCATCTTGGATTGCCATAGATTCGTAGTGGCAGTTTATTCACTTATATCAATCAACATTAGTGTAACATAGAATCCATGATGTCCTAACATTCCAAATATTTCCTACAATTTTCATTCGAAACAGTCGTTTTCATTTAAAAATTTAAATAAGCTTGTGCAAATGCAAACTGGTCAATGTAAACCTTTCCTTTTGTCTCCTCAGAGCCCACCGAACAAAAGTGGTATTCGGGCGCGCAAATTAAAAGTTGGGGTGGAGGACAAATGTGGCAACTCTGTTTCCATGACAACATAAGGATTAAGAAAAGCGTTACGAAAAGCTCTTGTGTGAACTTAGTGTGGACTTCATGCATGTGATCTCAATGGTGGTCTAAGAAACATGCAACTAGTGAGCATTAGCGTATCTCAACAAGATACTAAGCATTACGACCTGATCCAGCCAATGACAGGTGGATTGTAATTGCGCACCAACGAAGCAGCCAGATGTAGTGTGTGTGCGCATGGGGTGAGAAGGATTTGGTCGCTTTCCGTAGTAGCCATTTACACACATATTTCATCACTTAGGAATTTAATACCCCATCTATTCGGTTGATCGCAACTACATGTAGATTGACGATCACCGTGTTAATTGATGCCGATAGGTAGTGCTTGCTTCGCCGGCGAATGTTGCAAATTGTTGGTGCATCCGGTTTGTTTCTTTCCTGCATTTGAAGATCTCATGAGCTCTAAGCTATCCACTTTATACTCAGCGCTATACTGAACGGATAGCATGCAGTAGGTCAACCTAACACATCTGTCCACTGTATCTTTCCACACAACTGCTCAGGTTTACACTGAAAGTGTACACCTATAGCAAATTTGGAAAAGCCATTGTACTTTTAGTAGCTCTAATTTAGTAAGTACTTTTTCGTTTGGTTTCAGATTACTATGTTCAGGTAGTTGGCAATTAAAAGCATTAGGACTGAAACCGGTTTTTGCCGTGTAGAAATAGGGAATGACTGGCTATTTAACACAAATACTGTGCTTGTAGCTTTGATTCGTCTGATCCCCTTTAAAATACCATACCCTCTTCCAAATCTAGACATCTACCGTTCCATTTCGAAGCTATTTGCTTCAGGTCCCCTTTGACCAACATAGAAATTGACCGATCATGTATACCAGTGTGGTAGCATAATAAGCTTACACGAATAAGCCGGAGTATAGGATGCATAATAAAGAGAGTGGTATCGCGGATGACCGATATAAGAGTTTTGTCGGGTAGGATTGCGACTGCATATAACAAAAAGTATAGCATTGTATAGCACGACTGATTACGATTTTCTGCATTTGCGATAAATCACGTGGATGAGCTGTGCCGATTAATAAATTAAATATTGGTATTTAGTATCACATAGTAATCTTATATATCCTGCGCCCAACATAATGTGTAAAGGTTTTCTGTATCACGCACTCAATCTGTAAACTCAGGCATACAACCTCCTAATGCTGGTTGTATCTATGCACAGTAGAAAAAGTGGAAAGGATTATGCAATGCGTTTGTCGATATTACGAATACAAACGTGGTCAATACCATTACGGTGAAAGTAAAAGCTGACTGCTACTTGTGATATGCCAATCGCACAGAAGAAAAAGATGCTGTCACTGAGCTTCCTTCATCTCTAAGTCAAACCGATGGTACGCGAAAATACGCACTGACCGATGGGAAATTCTACGCAAATGTTACTCAGTAGGTCGCCCAACCTACTTCTGTAAGTCATCTATTTGATCTATGTTACAAGGGTAATTATTTACTTTTGTTTACTAACAACCCTCTAAGAGATATAGTGACCTCAATCATTGTTTATTTGCCATGCACCTTACGACAATTTGCCGAATGTATTGATTTTGATGACTAATTACTATGCTGCTTGGTGATAGTCTTTGTCGCGAACCGTTGAACTTGTTAGGATAACCTGGATAGTGGCAAGTAGTTCTCTTGGCAAACTCAAATTTTAGTATATCTGAATGCGTATGTCATAAATTGAAGAGCAATCATTTCAAAGTTTTCATCTCAATTAATGTGAATATCACCTATGGTCCTCGAGTGTGTATCCTACTTTTGTCGTCAGATCATGCTGGTTGACACACGGCACTGCACAGCTTTGACGGTTTCATGATTATGCTCAAGATATTCGTTACCAGCAGTGTTATGTGTAATTAGGGCTGAAGCGTCTACTAGCGAGTTACGGTTTGTACATATGAGTGCGGGTAAAATTTCTTTTGGGTTGACAGAAATTTCCCCTCGAGTCAACGGATGGCAAAAATACTTACTGTCTATAAAGGCTGCCGCGACTTCCGCTTCTTCTGAACCCAACGCTAAAGCAAATATAACCGTCATTGTGGTCGAGGTAGAGGTACAGTTGAATGGGCTAAACTCCACTGTAGTGTCTACCAGTTTCAGTTCCGGGGCCCCACAGTTGTCGCCATCCAAAACACGCAGCCAGGAAAATTTGGAATCCAGCTAAGACAGAGAATTACAAAACACTGCAATTTAGAGCACATCTCGATCATTTTAATAACATGGCATAACTAGTGTCGGAAGTGGGTGAAAAAGATAGTTACATGAAACAAAGCATTTACCATGCTGTAGGCTAACTCGGAGACAAGACGTTGGATATTCTCAAAAAAGTGGTTTTTGAAGAATTGCTTGATAATAATTACCGATTACAACATATGGCTCACTTTCAAGTTGGTGATACGAAGATGAATTTGATTTCCCATGTTACCGCTGATTCTCCAAATGCATAAGGCATTCTTCTTTCCGTCTCCTTTAAAAGAAAAGCTCCCGGTGCTCCCATACAATTGCCATCCACAGTTATCTGAGCAGAACAAGCAGTGGAAGCGGACGCTTAATGCGATGCATCCGCATGTATAGCTTACGATAAATGGTGATAGAAACCAATATACCGTACATTGCTGGATAGCCAAAGTGTGAATTTTATTCTTTTGTCCAAAGGCATGCGGTTAGCATTAAATGGTAACTTATAATACAGGATCACTTAGCACAGTTTAATTTTGAAGGAATTTCCGACTCCAGCTTTCAAGCAACATACACAGTGCTGTTTATAGTTGGGGTTATAGGTTTTGCTGTCTACAATGCTATTTATTTGGACAGCAATGTGCCATGTGTTAACGATGTAAACTGGACAGCTGAAGCAGAATTTACCCTGTCAAATAAAAACAAACTGTGTTTTGACGTGGAAAATATGTTGTACAGTTGAAACTCACCCAAAAGCCGATTATTTTCTGAAGAATCAATGTATACGCCGTTAATATATGCAGTAAACCTCCATTCATTTAATGATACGATTTAGTCTAGGAATTAGATGCACTATACACATTACTGGGCCACTTCTCAGATAAGAATCAAACCACAAAATGCATATTATAAAGTGTCTCAGCTTACCGTCCACGGGTACTCTGCGACCTATGACTGAAGAACCAACAGAATGATTAGACAAATTCCATGCATTTGCCCAGTATTGGGGAAACGTATGTACTAGAGCACAGCGATGCTATACATTATAGGAAATCAAAGTGTTAATTCAATCCATGTGCTTATGATACATGGGTGCAGATTCGGGAAGCATTGCAGTGTATATATGACCAGGTTCTGCCTGCTGGAACGGATGCAGCCGTATGCTCATCACGCTAGCACTTTTATACTTTAGTACTCAAAGCTAATGACTTACGTGTTGAAACCTGTGAAACTAAAAAAGGGAAATATGTCAGTTATGAACTGCCAAAAATTAGGTAGGTAAGAGATGCAGATATGGAAGATCAAATTGTCATAAATATCGTATATCAGCAAGTCTAGTTGCGTATGCTACAAATGATCAAAATACCTTTTTTGATTACTTATAAGAGGACAAAGTGATACGCATGATTAGACGGTGTATTTCCTGACAATGTGAGGCAGAGTCCTACAGAGTTGTCTAAATAATAGCACA